CGGTTATCACTTTCCATTAGCTATCTATGCATTTTAAGTTGCATAAAAAAAAATTATAATAAACAATATCATTATAATGAATTGCATTAAATTAATAAACGCAAAAGTTAATTATTGAATTTAAATAACATAAAGACCTAAACGTTATGGATCGAAATATTTTCATACAACAATTTATTTGAGAATTTAGGTATGCAAATTGTTATTATTAAACTTTTTTATTATTATATCTTATATTTCTTTATTATAGTTCTCTAAATGTCTCCTAAAAATATTTGTCAGATTACAGGTATATAATTATTGTAATACTATTATATTTTGTGGTGTTGTGAAGTGGCAATGGGCTGGTCAGTTCGAAGAACCGACAACTGATAGGAAAGAAATGTTCTGAGTGGCAAGCCCGTATAGGCAAATAAATGCATTGCAGGAAGTCAGTGATGCAGGTTGTTTGAAACCATTCGCCACGATGGGTTAACTGACCTGCTTTCATCGTCACCTATCATCCCTCACTGGTGCCCCGCCAGCGTATACCGACAGCGCAGGCGGAGTTACCATTCCATTATCACCCATTTAAATGGTCGCGTACAACGCGGTTTCAGAGATGTTTTCTCCCACGAACACTCAGGTTATGGAATGAGTTCCCTGCCGAGGTTTTCCCAAGAGACTACAGCATGGGGTTCTTCAAAAGGTTTTTTCAGGGTCGGCAACGCGTGCGTAATACCTCTGGTATTGCAGGCGTTCATAGGCTACGGTAACCGCTTACCATCTGGTGGGCCGTATGCTTGTTTGCCACCTCAGTGGTATAAAAAAAAAATTAAAAAATAAGTTTATGAGGGAGGCCTATCTTCTACAGTGGATGATTATGATGACAATTTTGAAGCATTACTTCTTAAAATTGATTTCTAAGGCATAAATTACAAGATTACAATCGGATCAATTCGATCCATCAATTTCATGAGATTGACTATCGCTTCATCAATGCGTTTGATTCGATCATACGTATGCAAATATTGCGAAACAACTACCGATTCCCTTGTTGTTTCCTGCTGATCATAAGTAGATGTTACATTTACAGTTATGAAACAGCTGAATCTCATTGGTTAATGAATATTTTAAAGCGAACAGTGTAAATTTTTTGCTTCCAAAAAACATCAGAAGTAATCTTCCTTAATTATATACTATTCCTGAAGTCTAAATATAAATATATATAGAAGTCATATACTTATTATAAGTACATTTGTTTCGTACAAAAACAGCAACGGAGCATATCAGTAAGTATTTTTTTAATGCAACTTAGAATGGTAAACAAGCTGACGGCCCACCTGATGGAAAGTGGTAACCATGGCCTATAGACATGAGCAGTACCATGGACATAACATAATATACTGTTTCGCCCATGATACTCATCTTGCGTTCCCATTCCTGAGAACTCAGGTGTTATTCCTCCTGTACCCTGTATTCTTGTACACAGTAAATTCACTTAATTAAAAAATATTTAGAAATAATAAATAGATAATTAATACTCGTACTTATTAATATTATAAATGTGAAAGTGAGATGGTTTGTTTGTTAACTCTTAGTGCCTTAACCTCTTAATCAATTACTATAAAAAATATACTCATATTATAAGGAGATAGGGGAAAAACATAGACTATATATATTTTAACCTTATCAATGAACACATTCTAGTCACGGGGACGAAGTTGTACGTAAAAGCTAAATAATTATAAATAAATATTTTAAATTAGAAATCAGTTAAATATATCTATTATACATTTTGCTTTGTGTAAAGCAATTTTTGCTGCACAATAAAGAAGTAGCTTTTATCGTCGGATAATTAATACAAGATCAGCACGGGAGCAAACGTTATCGATTATAAAAAATATAAACTGATGACGCATTCGGCTAATATAGCCACAAAAAATATAGACGAATTATAGACTTCCTTATTTTTGACGATTACAACAGGGGCCTGTCGGGAGGAAAGGGATTGTTAGTAATGACATTTAACAGGTCTATTGTTAGCAATACACCCTATCAGGTCGACCTCCAAGCAGTTCCCCCTGGAAACCGTAGTGGTTAATTCTTGTTCAATTGGTCACTATGGGCTAATTGACCTGCCTTCATTCTCACCTGTCACCCTTCACAGGTGCCCAATATATACCGTTAAAAATCCATCTTCACCCAATAAAAGAAAAAAAAAACAGGGGCCTATCGATTTCACAGTATATTCTGTAAACCCATGGTGCTGTTCATATTTATAGGCAATGGTTACTACTTTCCATCAGGTTTTTTTTTTTTTGATGGGTGAAAATGGTATGGTAACCCCGCCTGCGCTAACGCTGGCGGAGCACCAGTGAAGGGTGATTGATGAGAATGAAAACAGGCCAGTTAGCTCATCATGATGAATTCATCAGGAATTAACCATGATAGTTTCGAGGGAGAACCGCGAGGAGGTCGACCTGGTTGGGTATATTGCTAGCAATGGGGTTCTCAGTTTCCATTACTAACAATCCCTTTCCCCTCTTTTCCATCAGGTTAGCTATCAGTTTATTTGTCATATTTAGTATGTTACCGAAAATGGTAACGTGTGTAAAGTGTCTAAGGGTCTTCTGTGAATACATTTTGAATTTCGAAAGGATGTAAATTTTTATTTCTGTGTGCCCCACAAATTTTTTACCCTATAAAACGCGTCGATGCGTATTTGCATATTGTAATTACGAACGCAACGGGGTCACCTCGAGGTTATCTCAGCCGGTGTCGTCTGGCGAGTGGCGGCAACATGTGTGGCTGTCTGCCAATGGCAAAAGTATCGTTTTTAGGACGATTTCTATTTGAAAAAATCCTAATTATATTACAAAAAAAAAAAAAAAACTATTAATTTCAACTTAATCTAATATTAATTGTTAAGCGTTAAATATAATGTTTGTTACTCTAACATGCTTTAAAATGTGGATTGCTTTGAATGAAATCTGGTACATAAATTTCAAATTCGAATTGTTTTTATTTAAATATATATATATTCTTTATTGCACTAAAACATACATTAACAACAATAAGTTAATAACAATGTTAGCAAAGGCGAACTTATCTCTGAAAGAGATTTCTTCCAGTCAACCTAACGCAGTATATGTACTTGTTATCAAGCTCTTTAAATTGTCCTCTTTTATGATTCTACTTCGGTTATTCGGAATGTAGTATAAATATAGTAATCATAGTTAGTAATATATTTTTGTAGATAGACTATAGATATATAACCTATGTTCATATTATAAAACAAGTTTAATTATAATATACGCACACAGAAACGTCTGATATAGAATCACAGAAACGTCTGAAACAGATCACTTTTCTTAATTTTAACAACCTAGTAAAATTAAGAAAAGTGATCTGTTTATCTGATTTTGTTAGTGGTAACAATGAAGATTAAATAAATAGAAAAAAAAAACATTGACACAAATAACATGATGCTGTATGAAATAATTATTATTTTAATTAATTACAATAACATTTTTGATTGATAATAATCTTATTGGATTGGTTTATTTAGAGATGTAATTCTTTAACCTAAATAGTAAGAATCCAAAAACAACTGCATAAATTTAAAACAATATTTGCAATTCCAAATCCAAATTAAAATTTTAAAATCTTTTTTTATAATATTTTTTAAAATAAAATTGACAATTCACCAAGTCTAAGCTGTGGATAGAAACATATGTGTAGACGTTTGGTCGGACGGTCGAGGCGGCGAGCGAATAAATGGCTCGCTCCTCACCTCCCCAGTTGCCTGTCGAGGATCACGGACATTTGAGTAGCGTACATAGTACGGGTCTTTTAACGTGTCGCACTCAAATTGCATTTATTTAAAAAATGGAATATATATATATATATATATATATATATATATATATATATATATATATATATATATATATATATATATATTCAATAAAAACATTAACAATTGAGAAAAATTCAATTAAGAATGCATTTAAAAAGTTACAATTATACGGAAAAAAACTTTACTAATAATTATAACTGGCTCCTACACGTATTAAATTTACATAAAAAAAAAAAAACGCATAAAATGACCGAATTCAAAGATATTAATGGTTTGAGAATTAAATAATATAATAATAAATATCAAAGACAAATACACAACACACACAGGCACACGGAATAAAAGATATGAACTTATAGAAATAGAAATATGTAATTGGTATCTTGTTTAAGTTACTATTCTGTCATTGAAATTGAACATTTGTTCAAAATACCTAAATATGGGGAAAGCAACTTATTTATTTATTTAGGATTATCAATATTAGTTACAATGTTAATGCTGTTACATTGCATTACAAGTACATATGTTATAAATATTGCACTAATGATTATTGGTAAATAATAAAAAAGAAGAAAAGAAAAATAATATGTGTATAAAAAAATAAAATAAAAAATAAAACAATACTTAGAGATAGATATATAATAGTACATAATTAATACTTTTTAACTACATCCTAATTATTAAATTTCCAAGTATTAAAATTCATTTATTCTAAAACAAGTATGTTACTTTAACATTATTTGATGGTGTGTTTCAAATTTGTATACTTCGATTTTATACGAAGATTCCACTATTGAAACTAGATTGACTATATTCAGAAGCGACGAAAGGGTTGATTTTGGAATTTCTTTTGTGAGATAGTCCACTATCAAATCAAAAAGTAGAGGGCTCCTGATGTACACTCATCTCGAATTAAAAATAATTGGAATAGAACATATTGTTAACAAGACAAGTTACAGCGCTATGGCACCTCAAACGTTGTAGCAATATGCTGAGCATGGACCTAGTTTACATAACACTGTGACACACACACGGACATATACACGTATTTGTATATTTTTAAATTTAAACTTCATTTAAGCAGAAAACGGTAGATGTTTTTTTTTCATTTTGTTTTTGTTTAGGTTAATTAGTTTCTTTATTTATGTGCGAATCGCATTACTTTATGAATAAATTCTTTCTCTCTTTTACATGACTACTGTTGTTATAGAGATGTCTAAAGATGCTAATTTAGTACTTTTTTATTCATGGATCTGTAAGTTTCTTGGGACACAGTCGAAGTTTTTTCAAGGTCAATGAAGACAAGGATATGCAGGATATGTAATAATAATGTGGATAAATTTATTGGCTAAACTGACCGGACGGTCTAAGTATCGAGGTGTTTGCACTTTATTGTCCAGATAGATAGCAATGTAAGTACGCACATACGCCCGGCCGCCGCCGGCCACAAATCTTCCGTTTCACTCGGGCCCAGCCTCCGAGCGGTGCGAAGAGGAAACAGCACGCTCCAAAGCACGGCGGCTGCGTGATGCCGGCTACTCCCGAAATAGGCTGCCCCCCGCGCGGGGTGCCGGCCCATCGACGTGCTTTTAGTATGCTGCGCGCATGCGAACCGCCCGCACCCTTCTGCGCTCCTGGTCCTTACGACCGTAAACACGCGAATTACAAAACCACTTTAAAAATAGAAAGCGTGCTAAATAGCATGCTGTGAACAATGGTGGCCATACTAGCCAACCCAAAATGGAGCGAGGACCTCACCATACAAATGATAATTGAGTACGAGAAACGTGAATACCTATGGAACCCCGTGTCTGAGCATTACAAGAATAAGAAAATACGGGAGCAGGGGTACGTTGAGATAATTAATGCGTTGAATCTGATCGACGTCACTGTTAAGGAATTAAAAAACAAGATAAAGAACATACGATCGTCGTACAGCGTAGAGCTGAAGAAGATTCGCGCGGCTAGGAAGGCTGGCGCGCATGCGTACAGGCCCAGCGTCACGTGGTTCGAGCACGCAGACAGGTTTCTGCGGGCGATTGTCACACCGAGCTCCGTAAGATTACATTGCTTATTGTTTACATATGAATTAATTAGCATTGATACTTTACTATTATGATTTCAACATTGAATATTTTTTAATAGGTCGATAACAGCTTATTAGAGATCCCGGCGAGCGACGATAGCGATGCAGTACAAGACTTGAGCGAACGTAAGTCACCGGAAAAGAAAAGCCCGCGAAAACGCCGAAGCTCGACTCGTTCGTCCACTCCGTACGTATTGAATACTCCATCCCCTCGACCAAGTACGCCGTTTGGGTTAAACTCCGCTTCGGCGACCCCATTCGGTATTCTCCCTACATCGACATCTGCACCATTCCTTAATCCCCCCGTCGGGATTGCTACGCCTCTAACTACCTCACTTGCGACTATTTACCCGGTCCCCACAAAACAAAAGAAAAGCGAAGATCGCAATGGTGATCACAGCGATGTACCGCAAGATCTGAGTCAGCATGCAGAGAATGGAAATGAAAACGAATTTGAAATGTTTGGCAAATTAATTGCTAGTCAGTTAAGGAAGCTACCGCTGAGTCTCGCTTTAGATACTCAGTTGAAGATACAAACTTTAGTAAACGCCGCGAGAATACAGGCAGTATATCAGCAATACAGTTATGCTGGGCCATCACAGGAGGCGTTATCAGTGCAGGCATTATCGAATGGTATATTAGCCAGCATGGCGTCACAGAGCAACTACGCTTCCCGAGCATTAGCCATGAGAAACGACTCTCCTGATGATATGAATAGGGACATGAAAACGGAGTACTCGTTGGGATCTGAGGCAGAAGACTAATAATAGAAACGCTGTATCTCTTTTTTGAAAAGATAATACGAGATAGCTTTATCTCACAAACACAGAATACCTCAAATTAAGGATTTCAAGAATTTATGTATGCTCATAATTGTATACCAATTTAGATGAAAGTTGACTATAGGTCGGTATATATACATGTTTTAGATGAGTATATAAATGTGATAGATGTTTAGGTAACATTGGAAATTACAGAGAAATAACTGAAACAAGTACAAAATATATTTAACGGAATATGTTAAAGATGTTTGCTCATAGGAAGAGAACAAAATTTACGAATAAGTCCGAAGACTAGTCATTAAATATCTCGATGTGTAATTTAGATCTCGGTGTTTTGGCTGTGTTAGTTTTATTTTATGATTACGACATTGTATGCGTACATATCTTTCTGTCTGTCCTTTACTTGGGCATTAGAAACTAATTTATAGAGAAGTTACCAATTTCGAATTTAATATTTTAGACACACTGTCTATTGATGTAGCTGTTGAAAAGTTTTAAATTTTATACCGTTCTATAATACTCATAATAATATAATTTTTATCTCTTAAAAGTGGACGGAGTTCATCAGTAGACAGTTAGATTTATTTTTTTGCGTCTAAATAAATGTATTTTACAAGACGAAATTTTGTTAATATTTTTATATTACAATTTATTTTATGATAACAATAGTATCTAGTGTTATAATTGTGATTTAAATGTTTTAATGCACGCAAATTGAATATAAAAAATACCTCAAAATAATGGTAATATAAAATATCTTTGGGGTAAATGATGTGGATAAAAGTCAACAAGTTGGCGGTAAATTAGGTATCCACCTGAGCATTCTTTACTCCCTCAGGTGGTATATATATATAATTGATAATAACTATTTGGAATAAACGTATTTAACTTGTTGTTTGATGTGCCACAATTAGATTGTATACTACATAATGTGATTTATTGAGAAATAAATATTTTATAAATGTCATCAAAATATTATCAAGACTGTTTGATTGCGCTTTTTTATTTTTATTTCGATTCCCGCACATTTTTACGTTAGACAACATAGATAAAAAAGACATTTAGATTAACTACAATGTAATAAATACCAAAGGATAACACTTTTTCCATTTTGTTGAAAACATCGATCTTTGCAGAAAGATACTTGAGAGACGATCCTGTATAAGTAAGCGCAGTGTAGGGCGCCCACCTATTAGAGGGAGTGACGACCTAAAGTGCATTGCAGGGATTCAGTAGATGCAGGTGGTTCAGGATCGTTACTCATGGCAGTCTATGGGGAGGCTAGGAGTTTGACAAGTACCTTAAATACTCACCTACTAAATAATATTGGAATCAGAATTATCGATGTAGCAAAACTTAATACTTAACTCAATATTCGAAGATTCTGGAACATTGCTGCCAAATAATTTATAAATAACGCTATTTATTCTATTCCCAGCATTCATTCTCGTTTACCTATGGAATAAGGGTGATATTATGATGTTGATTAAAAAAAATCTAATAGTTACCTCAGCTTTTTTTATTTTTGCTAATATTCAGAATTTAGGGCGCACGCTGACCATTTATTTCAATAGATCCAACCCACTGTCACCGCAGCCGTCACGGCGTAAATTACAAAAGCTTAGAACCGTCACAAACGAGACATATGCCACATTAGCGTTGAAAATTCGCATTTGACCGCAATTCATAGATATAAAGGGACCCTAGATCCCACATTCGTGTACATTAGGTAATAATTACGTCTAAATGTATCTCAAATTAAAATTAAAAGAAATAAGTACTCAATATAGGATAAGATGTGACTAGATTATATATTTACGGTAAATGTAAAACTTCGCGTCATTATTATATTTTTATACAGAAAAGTGGTCTTTCAGAAATAAAAGGAATCTGGACCAAGTTAATGTACACAATATATATAAAAATAGAGTAGTTATCTCAAGTATATTCAAATATGAACCACCTTTTCTTACAATTTTGCTTTGTTTATTGACAGAAAATTAGTTTCGAATTCAACGTTTTGGCATGAATGGCTACATATGTTATTAAATTAACCAGACAGAAATCTATTTTTAATACAGTTTTTACCCTCTAGACCAGGGGTGGCCATTCGATCGATCGCGACTATTAGTGCAGTCGATCGTGGCAAGACAAAAAATATAATATTTTGCTGATCTAGCAGATTAGCAAAATATTATATTTATAAACTGCCTTGAAAAACGCACGGTCTTCCACCGTGCGTTTTTCAAGGCACTTTCTTCCACACACAACCATTCTTTGGAATTAACTTCCAGCAGCAGTATTTCCGAACCGATACGACAACATAACCTTCAAGAAAAGAGTATATTCCTTTTTAAAAGGCCGGCAGCACACCTGCAATGCCGCTGGTGTTGTGGGTGATCATGGGCGGCGGTAGTCACTTACCATCAGGTGAGCCGTATGCTCGTTTGCCCCCTGTGTTGTAAAAAAAAAATGCTCAAACACAATACTTGTAATTAAGTAGTTACAAAGCATAATTTTCAGTTTTATGTTTTCCCTCTTAATAAAATAAATACTACATAATTGTGTACTAAACTATGTTGTTTCATTTAATATTTCAAGAAGTATATAATTTGTAGATCGCACAGGGTTTCGTCAGTAAACAGAAGATCTTGGGTCTAACCAAGTCGGCCACCACTACTCTAGACGGTCTTGTAACTCTGCACATCGTAAGGTACCACTTTTACACGATTTAGTATTTGATTGTGCATCTTCGTTTCTTTTTTTATCAATGTAAATAAGTGAACCGCGTCAATCCTCCCGCTTGCCGGTTTAATTTACGGGAGTTATGTCCGTGTGTCGGCTATTGATTGGTGCGGACGGCTCGGCGGCGCGCTCGACAGATAACCGTCGAACGCTGGGCTTTGCGTGGCCGTAATTAGTTTGCGTTGCGTTTCTCGAACACGTTCTGTACCAGCTGTGCCAGTTAATTACAATGTTGCTATAACCTAAGGCGCATTGATTTGGTGGGACAGAGGACTAACCATATGTAGAATGTTTGCTTTTATCTAGTCTGATTATGTACATTATTAATTATGACGTCACATGGGGTACGAGTACTTAGTCCAAGTATTGAATAGTAGGTACCCAGTACTATTTGTGAGAACAAGAATGTTGTATACAATTTAAGATCATATATTTTCCATTTATGTATAAAAAAAACCATATTTATTGTTACATCAAAATGATTCCCATTCATGAGAATGTTATTATAAAATATTAATTCATCTATCTGATATATCGTATATCGATATTCGTCTATTGCAGATACCAATTATCAGGTTATGGGCCCAGAAAAGTAGAAAAGACAAAGCATTAGAACCAAGACAATGCAAAAACCAAATTCTGAGATAGAAAGTAGAGATAATAGTCATACTTATTAAGTGGAACTTTTCACATACCTACTTGAAATTTATTTATACTCAAATGACAAGAATAAAGTAAAAGATTTATAGGAACTGTTACAAATAGATTAATGAACGGAATTCTCAATGACAAAAGATAGGCATGAGAAACCTTTAAAAATGCTTACGAAAGGGGTGAACATTTTTTACACTGGCGAAGTACCAGTGAAGGGTGTTTTTTTTTAATGGGTGATAATGGAATGGTAACCCTACCCGCGCTATCGGTATACACCGACAGGGCACATGTGAAGGATGATAGATGAGGATGAAGCAGGTCAGTTAGCCCATCGTGACGAATTCAATAAGAAGTGTTCACGATGGTTTCCAGGGGAACCACGCGGAGGTCGACCTAATAGGGCATATTGCTAACAATGGGGCTGTCAAAGTCCATTGCTAACAACCCCTTTCCCAGTGAAGGGTGTTAGGTGAGGATGAAAGCAAGTCAGTTAGCCCATCTTGATGAAATCCATAAGAATTTACCAAGATGGTTTCCAGGAGGAATCGTGTGGAAGTTGACTTGATAGGATATTGCTAGAAATGGAGCTATAAGATTCCAACACCCACAATCTCTGGATTAGCAAGAAAAACTATAAGTGTTATTAAAATTGCAACATAAAAAATTTGAAATAATAAATATGTAAGAAACCATATTTATCAATAACTTTTGTATCTTTGTTAAATAGCTTAGATGTGGATTGTGGCAGTTAAATAAATTACGTGCAGGAAGCAAGCCGAACGCGAATTCGCGTTCGCCGCAGCTCACACGCCTGCGGCATCATTAGATCAGCCCAAAATGGCGCGAAATGGCGCGCGAAACTAGAATGCAACGTCGCGAGTCATTAGCATTTATTATTATTCGAGTTATCGCGCGCGTGAGTGAGTCGTATTATTATGATAATACGTCTCCGTGTTACTGGAGTCTGTGAAAATATCGACACTGGGAATATATACGTAAATGTTTACATTGGGGAGCGTTTGAAGCTTACCGAATTGTGGTAACGTCGCAATATCTCAGTCAGTTTTCAAAAGTAATTTTGAGCAATTTCCAATATTTCAAATGGAGAAAATGCTCTGATAGTAAACATCACCATACTCATAGATTAAGTTTTAGTTTTTTAAAGAGGTTTCTTCAGGTTCGGCAACGAGCGTAAATAACTCCTGGTGTTGCAGGCGTTCATAAGGTAGGATAACCGCTTGCCATAATGTGTGCCGTATTGCTTGTTTGCCACCTCAGTGGTCTAAAAATATATAATATAATCCTTTTTAAAAGGCCGGCAGCACACCTGCAATGCCGTAGGTGTTGTGGGTGACCATGGGCGGCGGTAGCACTTACCATCAGGTGAGCCGCATGCTCGTTTGCCCCCTGTGTTGTAAAAAAAATATATATATAAATTTACTAATAAAAAATTTTTGTATCTATCTCATATCTTGCTTCTGAAGGTATGGTGCTCCTACAATTTTGCTTGTCAAAATCAATTTAATATATTATATAAAAACATAAAATGCTCGTTTGCCCCCTGTGTTGTAAAAAAAAAAAATATGAATATCAAATTCAATAATTTATTACTTAGGATTACATTTCAGACTTAGTGCTAATTGTAAATACTTTTGACTTGCCTACGTACTGTTAATAACTTCACAAAATGTTCATAAAAGCTTAGCCAACGTTGTGGAGAAATTGTACGAGTGACCTGCGAATATGTTGGATTTAGTTTGGGGTAAAACAACGTAATCCCTGTGTACGCGGGCAAGCACGAATCGTAGATAAGGTAATATGGCAAATTTTGAGTGTTTAATTAATAGAAACCTAATAATGCTAAATACATGTAATTCTATATAAGTAATTAAGATATATTTCAGTCCTATTTATGAATATCATCATCATCATCATATCAGCTTTTGACTGTCCAATGCTGAACATAAGGCTTTCTTTAGGGGATTTTGCCAGTAGTTGTCACGCTTGGCAGGCGGATTGGTAACTGCAGTTAGGCTTCGCTCTCCCTTAGTCCCCTCTTACGACACCCACGGGAAAGAAAGTGGTGGCCTATTCTATGCCGAGGCCATTTTTTTTAAATAATCTATCTGAAATACTGAAATTGTTATTAAAAATTGACAGATTGAAAGCGGGGCTGTCATTTCATTATCATCCATTAAAAAAATATTGTTAAATATATAAATATCCATAATTAGACCATGGGTAGATTTTTAGTTACTAGGTATACTTAATTTAAGGTAAGCCCATAGTCGCCAATCCTTCAAGCTGTGTCAGACACTAGTTCTTGAGCCATCCTAATTTTGAATTCTGTAAAGCAACGAAACTCCGTGTATAATTAGAAATAACCCAAACTCAGAGAACTATCTAGAAATTTCATCAAAGTGATAATTAACTTTAAATCAACCGACGTTTCCGTCCTCTGTAACTTATATCGAGCAGCGGCGCCCGTTCTTATTTGACCAACACCTGGCAATTTTAATCTCGCTTGTTCCCAACGATCTACAAAGTAGACGAAATGTCAACAGCCTTGTACGGGTT